ATCTTTATTTTATGCTCCAACATGTAGCATATACAGTATATTTGTATGTCTGTATAAACTTCAGCAAATTTTCAGATTTTCTCTAAGTCTGATGAAATCTCCGTTATCATTGGATACATAAGAATGGCATTTGGGGTACTGACATTAACATTTTCCGGTGAAAATTGCAACAGAATATTTAATGAATGCTTAAATTCAAACCAGCCGTGCTTTCTTTCAAAAGAACTTGCATTATACACACCCACATGGCTGCAAAGACTAAGTACTGTAATCTGCCTTGGATACATCATCTTCAAAAACCATCTGGTGCCCTCCTTCCCATCCCTATCCTGTTCACATTATGTCATAAAAAGATTTTAAGATTGGAATAATCAAAGACTTTGAGACTGCCCATGCTAATGACCCACAGAATTGTCTCCAATGGCTCTAGAAATGTCAATTCTTGCTTCAATTCATGTCCCCCATCTTGTTTTGTCTGCCCTTTGTTGTGTTTTGCCAATTAAATATTTTGATGTTACTGATTGTTTAAAGTTAGATCTTTGTTGGCTGATCTGAGTGATGTCTGTACTTGCTCTGATCTGGATATAAGCATTGTGTAGGCATGAGCAGCATGCTGATCAAACTGTAAATCACCTAAAAATAATTTTTCAATATTCTATAGCCATTAAATATGTTTAATCCTTATTCAGGTACTAGGGAAATTGCCTTTTAGGTTCCTTTTCGTCGGCTTTTAAGTAACAAGATAAACCTATCTACCAGCTTTTTTTTAGAAAGGTAAGAATTCTAGGCAGCTTTTGTGAGAAAATTGTGTGGAATGTTTAGTAAAAGGCAGGTGGAATTGATACAAGAAGCACTCAATTGAAAAATTATCCTAAATCCCCCTAATTAAAGGAATGACCCATCAGCAAATTATTCAACCCTTTGGGCAATACTCAGATCTACTCCATTTGCAGCTGACAGCTCCTTTGCTCTTCTGAAGAAGCAGGCTCTGAGTATGTAAATAATTGCTGCTGTTTGCAAGAAGCAGTTGTAGTAATGGGAATTGTTAAATTTGAAAGAGTTCCAGTGTAAACATCTTCTCCTAATATTCCATTAATATTAACCGTGCTTATTTGTTACAGTTATATCCAGTCTTTCCTTCAGAAATTCAAGGTAGTATCTCTTTCCTCTGTGCTTCTTCCTATCTTTTCCCACAAAATCAGCCCTGTGAAGCAGGCTGGGCTGAGAGGCAGTCTGTAAGCCTAAAAAATGAGCTTCATGATTGAGAGGAGACTCTTCTCTGGGCTTTCCTGGACTTAACTCTACATCACAAACAGTAACACTGAGACTAACCGGGGGGGGGGGGGGGGGGAAACACTACAGGTAGTCCTTGACTTAGGACCACAATTGAACCCAAAATTTATATTGCTAAGTGAGACATTTGTTAAATGAGTTTTGCCTCATTTTACGACTTTTCTTGCACAGTTAAATGAATCACTGCAGTTGTTAAGTTAGTAACATGGCCATTAAGTGAAGCTGGCTTCCCCATTGACTTTGCTTGTCAGAAGGTCACAAAAGGGAGTCACGTGACCCCGGGACACTGCAAGCATCACGAGTCAGTTGCCAAGCATCTGAATTTTGATCACATGACCCCAGGGAGGCTGTAGTGGTCCTAAACGTGAAAAACAGTCCTCATTTTTTCAGTGCCGGTGTAACTTTGAATGGTCACTAAATGAACTGTTGTAGGTTGAGGACTACCTTTTTCAATTCTGGAAAAACATATTCTTAGCCAAGTCTGTGTCTGACATACAGGAAAATGCAGAACTATACTGCTCAAAAAAATAAAGGGAACACAAACATATAGGATCCTATATGTTTGTGTTCCCTTTATTTTTTTGAGCAGTATATTTATGTGATTCCCTCAACCAACATGGCATTTATTTCTTATTTAGCATGTCAGTCTGGCCCCTTGACCTAAGAATCTTTATTGGAAGAAGCAGAATGTGATCCTCAAAGCTGCTTCCTCTCCCAAAGAATCTTTCAAGGCAACCTTTGTAACACGTGACTGGCACACCGCAACACCATTCCATTCTATTTAGACCAGTGGTTCTCAACCTTTTTAATGCCGCGACCCCAACCGGTCATAAGTCGAGGACTACCCAACCGGTCGTAAGTCGAGGATTACCCAACCGGTCATAAGTCGAGGACTTTCCCTGCCCGGGAGCGCCGCGCATGCGTGGTGCCACCCCCTGCGCTGGCCGAGGCGTAGCTGGCAAGGGGCAGTGATGGCGCAGGGCGACCACCGGCTGGGCCACCAGCTGGCCCAGCCCAAGGGTGGTAAGGCACCCGCTGGGCCCCACGCACGCCAGCAATTCTCCCTGCGCCCGCCGGCCTTCCACCTCCCACCCCTGGCCCTCTTTTACTTACATTTTTAGTAGTTGCTCAGCAGGGAGGGGTGGAAACTTCCAGACAGCTTGCCTTCGCTGCAGACAACTTGCAGCACCGTTTGCAGAATGGGACTTTTGGCGGGCTCAGCAGGGCAGAGACAGCCTGGACAATTCCTATTGGCTTTTGAAAGCCAATAGAATTAGACTCTATTCAAGAGAGTCTATTCTATTGGCTTTCAAAAGCCAATAGAATAAAAGAGAGCAGCACAGCTAAGGAAAAGGGGGAGGGGGGAAATGGCGGACTGCGTTGTTTGGCGACCCTCATGAAATGGTCGTTCGACCCCAAATGGGGTCCCGACCCACAGGTCGAGAACCGCTGATTTAGACAAACAAGTGGAAGGAACTGAGTTGGATTCAAAAAAAAGATTTTACTTGTAAGAAAAAGAACATAAAACTATAGCATAATTATAAATAACCATATAAATTACGCCACATGGAAACATACACCAAAAATGATGATTCCCTTTCTAAAAGAATTTCCCATTTAAAGTGATGATATTCAGGCAGGTTATCAGTGATTACCACAGCAAACGACAACAAATGTTACAGGAGAAAATCAGTGCAATGGTGTTCTTTGCATCCCGATATGTAGTCACTGTTGCTTCAGAGAGAGAGAAAAGGATTCACTGAAAAGGATTCCTTTCTGGAGAGAGAAGCAGTTTCTGTCATTCCCTTCAATAACCTGAAAGAGCCCATTCCTTGCACTCATGAAGTACTTCATGCTTGGAATTAAGCAGTGCATTTTTTGAGTCTAGCCCAGGCAGTGGCACTTCCACTCCTGACCTCTGCAGACAGACGAGCTCCTGACTTCCTCATTCCAAGAGACCAGCAAGTCTTACATTTTTCTGGGAGGGGGGTTGAGGATGCCAATAGGAAAAGTGGACTGCTCTTTATAGTATCATCTCCTCTGACACCACAAAATTACAGGCTACTCAACTGGGAGGAAGCCCCTAGGTTTCTAAACTGTGTTTTGGAGAACCTTAAGAGACTTTGTGAGAGACTAAGAACAAACAAAAGTTAACTCAAATGCAGCCAATTTTCTTAACTAGCTTTACCTCTTGATCAGAGTTTTGTGAATTTTTTTTAAAAATAAACTAACAAGTTCCCTAGCCTCAACAGGTTTGAAAATGCTTGTCCAAAGCAACAACGCCATCTATTGAATGCATTTTTATAAACCTTACTGGTAGAACTGGGAATAATCTTAGTATCATTATCAGTGAGCTTGATTGTTGTGTTTAGTAACATTTCCCAAGAGAATTATTTCATGGATAGTCTCCTGTCCTGATTAGAAATAGTTATGTTCATACAGGAAGCAAAAATTGCAGATCAATCTCTCAACAGGGCAGTTTAAATTCTGGTTGCGTTTGTCTGCTGGACTAGTCTTCTTTTGCACCGTTTGGCTCCTAATAACTTCCTAAGTTTTACCTTACTATACAAACTGATAAACTACGGTTTACTGTTTCAGTTTACAGAGTAGGCTCCAGTTCACATACCATGCTAGGTCAGGTAAGTCAATACAAATTTCTCCCAACATGTGAACTCAGCTTCTGCTTTGTAGTGCAAGAGATTAGGACTCCTTATGAAACAATTAAATGTGGCAATTAGCTTAAGAGAACCAAATGGGAAGAATATGTACAAGGTTTCTTTAGAAGAACAGCCCCCCTCCCCCAACCTATTCACATCAATCAAAAAATCCTCTATATCAAATTTCAGTGAACAAATTGCAGTAGCTTTAAAAGGTATAAATTTCCATTCAAATAGCACCCTCTCCTTAGAGAGCTGTTGTCCAAGATTGAACAATATTAAGTTATCCATGTTAAAATCACGAAGAGAGGATCCTCTCCTAAAAAGAGGCATCTGCCACAAGTTTTCTTGTCTAATGTTCCTATGCTGTATATATTAGAGAAAGGGAAGGCTCTGCGTGTGGATATTGCCTGAAATATCAGGCTAGTTTTACCCAAACAACCAAAGTAGGGTCTGCTACCAGCTCTGCTCCTTCTAGAAATGCATGTCCTGTCCTGACACACACACAAAAGGGGTGGGGCTTTTCTTGTGACCTTACCGGGTTCTTTGTCATTCTGCTCTGCCTTGCAGACAGCACTGGGCATCACATATAAGATTCTTTTGGGACTGCAGTGCAATCTTCTACAGGGGGCCTGTTTGCGGAGATTTCCCCTGGCCATTATTCTATTCTGTTCTGTTCTACTGTTCCCAATGCATAGATGGGAGGACTAAGATGTATTTATTAAACCAATTTAAATTTAATAGCACATTTTTATTGCCTCTTTTTAGGCAAGACTCTCCTCTTTCCATATTCAGCACATGAAAATTGCTGGTGGCCTGGTTACTATAAAACAAGGCTGTCCATCTCGTACATTCATTGATACTTTTTTCCAAAAGCCATATTCAATTTATAATCTGTAAGTTTTGGTTTCTTAAGCTACAACATCCACTTAGATCTGTACACTTCTATCGTTTTATTTTCAAGCTCTCTCTGAACTCACCAACATTCCTTGAAGGATACTAACATTTTTGGTGTGAACGTCTATTCAGAAATATGCATCATCTCCGTTATTCCTGCCATCAACTCTGAATTTTATTTATTATACCAAATAAATATTTGAACCACTGGTTTTTAATTCCAATTATATCATTGTGTGCTGAAGTGTTGGGAAAAAGCTACGTAGAAATCAGCATATTGTCCCCTCTGTATGAATACCCTCAGGCGGAATTCAGATTGCCATATAACCAAGGTTTTAACAGTTCACAAGTATCTTATAAAATGCCTAGTTCTACAAGATGTGTCATAGCCTTAATGAGAATATTTTCTTAAGTCTAGCAATATGTCATTCATGCTGCTGTTTTAGGGAGTAGGAAGGGCAGAATAAAAATGTTCCATTTCTCAAAAAACTAGGAACTGATAAGACTCTATATATTCTAAACAATCTCTGATTTATTCTGATTAACAGAAATATTTAAATACTATTTCTTACAACTTAGATATATACAGCTCTGTTCTTGAAATACAGATTTTGTTAAATCAACACAGAGCCCTAAACAGAATTTCCACATAATAAGGAAATAGTGGAGATGGGAAAGAAATAGGGATCAATATTCATTCACAAATTTTATCCTAATCTGGATGGCTGGCACTTATTATTTGGGTGCCTTAAAGGTCAGTGCTTTCTTTGGCAAATGGTCCCTTTATCATTCATTTATGAAGTTATTAACATTACCAAACAAAGCCTAGAATACAGGTCTAGCATCTCTTTGAGATTAAAATCTATGTTTTATTTGTACTACACATATACCTGCCAAAACAGAAACCTGCAAAAGGTTTCAGGTGTCCTTGTTTATTGAGGTAACAACTGAGAGTAAACTAGATAGATGTTTCTTCATTGCTTTTTGCCAATAATGTAATAGTTGCATTCTGAGGTAGTGAACTAGAAAGATAAACGACTTTCTTCTTGCTATTCAGAACTGAGCTGACCCGAGTTTTGAAGATTCTTATGAAAAGGGAAAGGTATAGCACTTGGCTGATGAGATCATCAATTCTAAAGGCCTTTGATAAATATGGAAAGCAGAAAGAGGTCTTAAGAGATCCCAGTGTGAATCTGGGCCCAAAGTCAGTGCTGACCCTTGACATAAGTCCGCCTGTGGTATTTTCCTGGTGCTAGCATCTCCAGAGTGAGATCTGTTATGACTGCTGTAAGACCCCACACACGGTGAGGACCATGCAAGAAGACAGGCATTGTGTAGTGGTAGACACCATCACGGCAGTAGTGGGTGTAGCCCTGGTTCTTTTCTTGTAGCAAGTGGGACAAAGACAGTGTGAAGACAGCCTCAACCTGTAAATCGAACAATAAAGATTGAGTGGAAGCATAACTTGTCCAGTTTAGTTGTGGAATAATTATCTTCTCTTCCATCAAAATCTTTTGGAAGTAATTAGTTCAGATTTTAAATTGTAATATTGGGAAAAAAAGAGAAGAGGGGATCAGAAACAAACAGAAGCAAAAAAAAAAGGGGGGGGGAGAGGTTCAGAAAGAGAAACATCTGGTATCAAAAAGGAAAGAAAATGATGCAACCCATCCATATGGTCCCTCCCAGAGATTGCTTATGCTCCACTCAAGAGATTACTTCCAAGGGAATTAGTGCTTAACACAGAAGAATTGCCACTAGATCATCACTGAGAATTTTCTTTCATACCCATCTTCCTGGAAAAATATATTGAATAAAAATAGCATGTGATACACTGTTGCTGTGTTTCAGTTAATATTCTGATTCACCTCTTGGGGGTTAGGTTTCAGTGCCAGGTCCTCCAGAGGCCCCAGGTTTGCTAATACAGGAGCCACCATCATATTAGTCTGGAAAAAAAGGCAGAATTAAACAGATGTGAGTCCTTGGCTACTCCATGCTTGCTCTTGCAAGGCATATCCCAAATGGCATATTCATCCCCTAGCCCAGTTCTTTCTGTTTTCTGGAAATTTTCCATTTCTTTCATCTCAGAGAGCAATTGCAAAAAAAGATTTTCCCCTACTGATCCTAGCACAAAACAGGATATCCATCGTGGTTTCATGACAGAAACCTCATCTTATCCCTGAAGATATGGGGATACATTAAGCATTACCCTATCAGGAACATGTCTCATGATTCCCCAGACACAGTCCTTCTTTAACTGTATGCCCAGCTCTTCATGGGTCTCCCGCAGTGCTGTGCTGATGGCATCCTGGTCAGAGTCATCACACTTTCCACCTGGGAAACTGCAAAAGCAAAACAGTTATTGTGCAAGAGAAGTTTGGGAGGAGAAAATCTTAAGATTACTTGGGGTTGATGGGGACTCGAAAGTTTCCTGGACATCTTCTGGCTCAATCGCTAACTTTGTGCGAGTTCTTCAATGAAGATACATCCTGTTGAATTGCCATCCTGCTTTTAAATACCACCCCAGTCTATATTGCTATTAAATGTTTGCATGCCAGTTGTAACGTTCAGCTAAATAATGTTTCCCTGCCTCTTTCTTTAGAATAACTCTAGAACAATTATGTCCTGCCTTTTGCAAAACTTTCATATATCTGGAGACCACTACCGGTATTATGCCTCTCTTTAATCTTCTCTATACACCGACTTGCAACTGTTCTTCAGAGAATTTATGAGATCCACCAAAGACAACAAAAGGATGCGACTGGGGACTCTCATGTGGGTGTTCTGCCATTTATCTTTGCATTTACCAAGGTGGAAGATCAAGTTGTCAGATACCTTACTTGTCCTTTGTATAAACCAGTCAGAGTGCTGGAACGCAGTGTGTACAGGATTGCTGGGTCCCCAGCCACAGAGCAAAGAGATACCAGCACAGCTGCCCCCACAGTTTGTTTCCTGTACCGGAGGGAGGATTTCTCTAGCAGTCCTCTGCACCGCTGCTCGTTTTCCCAGGATAAATATCTTCGTACCAGACCCACACTGGTTATGGGTATATGACATGTACGCTGGCATTGGTAGTGCAGAGAAGGAAGCATAGTGCCCTAAATGGTGGAAAAAGAGGAAGGGAAGAATTTCACCAGAATGGCAGTCCACACTTTGTGACTTAGTAATTACTTCAGCTTCACCTCAAGGTTCCTAAAGTTAGTCCAAACTTGTTGTGCAAGAGAGGCAGGGAGGGCTAAAGTTAGGAGTCCAAACTCAAACATCTGCATTTCATCTAACCCTGTCAAATTTGGACCAACCACTCTTGGGCTGCAACAGTCGGTTCGTATCATGTCGTACAAGCACAAAGACCCAGAAAATCCACGGAGAATTTGACAAGCCCACAGCAGGCAGGGGTTTAAGTCCTTCATAGTCAGAGAACAAGAACTATCATTGGATGGTTAATCAGGGTACAGGTCTCGAGCGTTTTTGTTTTGCCTTATCAGCTTTACCCAGGGTTCTCCATATAAGTTGGACGTCATCTCCCGTTATCCTCAGCCAACCCAGCCTGAGATTGATGGGAGCCGTAGTCCATCCCATCGAGGAGATGCCGAGGCTTCTGAAACCGTCCCATTCAAAGTCTCCAGAAACAAAAAAAAAAAAAAAGAGGTTCTTTCGAGAGCAGCCACCAAGGAAAGGCACAACACAGTCCTCGGTCTGCTACCACAGATATCCGCAAACTACCCGCAACGCAACCCGCTACTTAGAGCAACCAAAGCCGAGCGGAGAATCCCACTTCACAGACATTCCTATTCGCCCCGCCCCGCAACAAACATGGCGGGACTGAAAAGCTTCCCAGCTTGCTTTTCAACAAATGGGGGACTAGAGCGATGTCAGTTAAGGCCTACTTCCGCCAGGCCGAAACATGGCGAGCGCCATTCTAACCTCGTAGAAACGTTCCTCCGTCAAAAGAGGGAATTCTTCGCTGAGAGCACCGTAAAACCGACAGCCGAGGACGCTGCCGCAACCAATGAGACCGGTGGATGGCAAAGCCACGCCCCAAACTGAGAGGCTGGGCGGTGCAAGCAAGAGCTCCCTCGCCCCTTAAAAGACCTTGAGGCGGCTGTTAGGATTTTATAGCTGGAAAGATTAAAGGACTAATTGCTCTTTAAGGCATCCTGTTTTCTTTCAGTGATTCACAGGAAAAATCTGAATTCCACCCAGTATACATGTATTCTTGGACTATGGGATGCAAAAAGATCCATTTAACTTAAGGTTGATACTTGCTTTTATGAAATTTTAAGATATTCATCAAACAGTAATTTTAAAAATCCTTAACTTTTCAGGACAGGTATTTAATCACACGAAGATAGCAAAATGATAGCATCAATGACAAAATGGAAATATTTTATTTGTGGTCTTCTGCCTTGGAATTAGTCCCCAAAATGATGTTTATGTTTGCAGCTTTTGAGTTCTTTGTAAAAGGGATACAAATAAATAAGATAATAAATGCACCCAGGAATTGTCATAATCATTTGTTATCTAGAAGGAGAAATAAACTGATAAATAGCCCACAGAATCTCTTATGATAGTATCTATCACCTATTATTCAGGAAGTTATTTTAAGCATGTCTGCTAGCCTTGATACATTAGACAAAAATTGTGGCCTATTCACTAGGGAGAAATATGTAAAATAATTCAAACGCCACCAGTGCTGAACATATTATGTAAAATGGATAAGAGGGCAGGTCCTATTTTAACATTCCTAAGTGAGGTTGGAGCCTTGGAATAACCCTTTTTCATCCTCTCTATGTTCTCCATAGATCCTGTGCTCTTCTCATTGTGGATGAAACAGGACTTTGTACTACAGTACAGATCTATTTAGAGGCCATTGAACTAACAACTCTAGGTGGTGTATAGTTTAAAAACCTGTATAGAATACCATAAAAGAAAAAAAAAATCATAAGCATCCCAAAGATAAACTACTCCGTTCAGTATGAAACAATTTGAAACTATCTTTTGTTTTGTCTCTTTTGTCCCAGAGCAACAGCTGAGGCAAGAGTACAAGAATTACATAATGTACTAAGCCATAACATGGTTGCCTGTTTTTGGCTAGCCTTAGGGCATAGTATGTGAATCCTAACACTGTACATTATTCAAAAAGCTAGTTCAAGAAGTAATGAATGAAATACATCTTTTATTATACTGCACTATTTCTTTCTTACTAAACTTCCATAGTTTCTAAAGATGACTGATACTGCTCATCCAACAGCATGATGATACTACAATTCAAATCTGACTCATGGCGGTTCTACAGGGCAGGTCTCTCCACATATTCCAATCTTGCCCTATTTCACTGAGTTTTTCTATGCTCTGGCCGGTGTCAGGTTTGATAGTGTCCAGCCATCGTGTTCTTTCACAGCCTGGATTCCTTTTACCCCTAACTCTTCCAAAAATATTTGCTTTCTCCAATGAATTCCCCATGACATGGCCAACTTCATATCCAACTACATATGCAAGACAATACTGAAATATACCTGCAGAGCCAGATTTGCTGCATTAGACCATTTTATCCAGATACTTACCACTTAAAAAAAGTAAAAAATATTTATAAATTAATAGTACAATCAACTTTCCATTTCATCTGCACATTTATAGACCTTGCAGAAGAAGAATTAGGAACGGGAAAATAAAGGTTTAGATGAGTTCATCAAAGTTATATTCATGTAATACAGGAGCCACCCCCAACCTTTTGGGCCCCAGGGACTAGTTCCATGGAGAGATATTTCTATGGCCCAGAGGAGCCATGGTTTCAGGTACAGCCTGTATACCGAGGATGGAGCTTCACTTGTTTGCGTGGCCCAGTTTCTGGCATGCCATGGACCAGTACCGGTCCACGGACCAGGGGTTGGAGACCCCTGTATCACAGAATCCTGACTGGTCTTTTGGACAATATTTTCCCATGAACTCATATAGATTGGAAGGACTTTTGTGTTTCATTTCATAATCAATCACTCCAAGAAGTATATAAAGACAATTCAAGGCCCTTGGACACAGGATGTTGCTGCGCTTGTTCTGTGAGATGTTGTGAGGCTTTCTGTGTGATCTGATTTTCAGTTACTTTCATGGGGCTTATTGCATTCTATTTCTAATACTGTACACCATGCAGAGTCACATTTGTCAATTAGGTGGTATATAAATCTAATAATTAAATAGATCACCTCCAGCTATTCATCTTATTCTCCTTCCTGTAAGAAATTACACAGATCAGTCTAAAGTATTTAATAGATAAACTGCCCAATAAGAAAGCCAAAAAGAAAAACTGGGAGTTGAGGCAGGTTGTGACAAATAAAAGAAATCAAACAGTGTTACTGAAGCCCAAGCAAGAGTAGATGTGGGCCTACAAAAAAATAATAGAACAGTGTAACTTCTTTGAGGTGGGCTTTATAACTGTTCACCCAGATGCCTGCTGATTTTTAGATTCATTATATTGCTTCATCCGTTCCTCCAACTCTGGACGGAAATGACGAATTAGACCCTGTGAGAAGAAATCAAGCACAGGAGTTAGTGATTAAATATATCTGTACCATTCCCTACACTGAGGCCTCCCTACCAAATCATTTCATTTCTAGCCCTCCCTCAATCAAATTGCATGATTCTTCAGCACATTTAAGTAAAAAGGAAATTACCTGCACAGGCCAAGCAGCCCCATCTCCCAGGGCACAGATAGTGTGACCCTCAATTTGTTTGCTAATCTCCCAGAGTGCATCAATTTCTGCCACTTGTGCATTGCCTCTCACAAATCTCCACATGACCTTGTTCATCCAGTCAACACCTGTGGGAAGGGAATCAACATTAACAGTGGAATACAAACCCTCATGAAATTCAGCGAGGCAGCACAATACTGAACACAGAAGTGTGTAAACTGATTTTGCTGACCAAGTTACAGGACTTTCTTTGACCTCAGCTTAGCAATTTCCCTCCTCAGGGATTTTCACATATCTGTTTCCACTGTGTTTTAAATAATACTGGCATAAGCAAAATAATGTGAAATTACGGAGGGTTTTTTTCAATCCCAACCCTAATTCAGAGAATTCTGGGATAATTTTGCTAAAGGTTTGAATAATAAGACTCACCTTCTCGGCATGGTGTGCACTGCCCACAACTTTCGTGCTTGTAAAATTCAATGAGGCGGGCAATGGCTCGAACTATATCTGTCTGGGGAGAAGAGAAGAAAATGAAGACGTGCCATATGCAAAACTCAAAGAAATAACTTTAGGGGACATTGCTTACCGATTTGTCCATGACAATGAGAGCTGCTGTCCCAAGCCCGGTCTGTGCCTCCACCAAGGCATCAAAGTCCATCAGAACTGTCTCACATACTGACTTGGGGATGAGGGGAGTAGAAGAGCCTCCAGGAATCACAGCAAGCAAGTTATCCCATCCACCTCTAATGCCCCCTGATTAGAAGGCAGAAACACACCATGAGGCCTGGCTCTTCAGATGATTGGATCAGGTCCATATACAAGAGGAACAAAATGAACTAAAAAGCTGATGCCACTAATATGAGGCATCTAAATTAAAGTGACAGCTCATTCTTCAGGGCAAGTAAGTTACTCTCACCTGCATGTCGTTCAATTAAATCACGCAATGGTACTGACATCTCTTCTTCCACAGTACAAGGAGTATTGACATGGCCCGAGATGTTGAAGAGCTTAGTGCCAGAGTTACGCTCCCGTCCAAAGCCAGCAAACCAGGTTCCTCCTCGACGGCAGATGGTAGGTGCTACTGCAACTGTTTCCACATTTGCTACTGTAGTAGGGCACCCGAAAACTCCTAGAGAAAGAAAATGGCTTAAGGCGAACAACATTTCTGAAGGATCTACGACGAAAAGGAGAAGGGGCACAAGAATAATCAAAATGGGAGTTCTAGGACTATTAAATGGGATATATGAAAGAGACTTCAAAGTTACTTTAGGTGAAAAAAGTATGTTGATGAAGTCGTTCATAGATAGACAATGAGAGTCTCACGTTGACTTGAAGCATATTAGAAATACCAATACATATACACACACACAAACCCACCACCATTAGTAGAAGGAGCATTTAAAATGCCTCACCTACATCTGCAGGGAAAGGAGGCTTGAGGCGGGGCTTGCCCTGTTTGCCCTCAAGGGATTCAATAAGTGCCGTCTCTTCGCCACAAATGTAGGCACCCGCCCCTCTTGTCACAAAGACATCAAAGTCATAGCCAGAGCCACAAGCATTCTTGCCCACCAGTCCTGCTTCATAGGCCTCCTTGATTGCCACCTAATAAAGTTAAGAAAGCATTAATTACTGCAGTCAAACCCCAACACTGGTCACCTGGTGATTTCTGACCATAGAAAAAGGCAATCTCGCAGACAATATTAAGGTTAACCACAAGAGACAGCATCTTACCTGCAAGTTTGATGCTTCATTGTAGAACTCTCCACGTATATAGATATAGGCAGCTCGAGCCCCCATAGATCTTCCTGCCACTAGGCAGCCCTCTATTAGCTTATGGGGATCATGACGCATAATCTCCCGATCCTTACAAGTTCCTGGTTCCCCTTCATCCGCATTCACTACCAAGTACTTAGGCCTGAAATACAGAAGTAATTATATCCACCAGCAAGAAGAAAAGCCTCTCCATCAGTTTGTGCTACAGTTAGCAATGCTACCTAATCTGCTTACTCTCTATTAAAGTCAGACCGCATAACTGATCTATCCAGTTCAGGATCTTCACTTTGTCAATGATCATAGTATTCAACTTCAGCATCAAGGGCTTAGGAAACCTGAGCATACAAGTATGCATCTTAAGTATCCCTGAGAAAGCTATATTTGTATTTCTGCAGCCACAGTAAATGATAATATTTTAACCATATCATAAAGTCGGTTGAGAAAAGGTGAATTTCAAGTAAGAGCACACAATGAGATATTTAAAGCTGACTTTTCCAAGTACAAACCTCACACTCTATTCACCTTAGCCAAACCAACTATCCCACCTTAAGAAGTCCAGAGATTTGGCTGCTTCGCAGAGCCAATCTATCTAGAGAACACAACTTTTTTTTTAAAAAAAGAGAGAAGATGGGCTTAAAATCTTTTTTTTTTTGTAAAAAAATTTTATTTCAATTTTGCAATACAATACAATCATAAAAATACTTCAGATAAAAAATAAAACAAGTTAATACACCCCATTTTTGGTATTGCTCACCCATTTCCCCCTAAACCGCATCCACCCTCTACCAACCTACCTCTTTCCCTCTTCCTTCTCTTTCTCCCTCACCCCCTCTCCTCCACCTTCCTACCTACTTCTCACCTTCTTCTATCCTCTCACCCTGGATGCGGTTCGGGGGAAATGCTGGGCTTAAAATCTTTGAAACAGATATTAATCATTCCTCAAAGCTGAGGTGCACACTTTTAAATGTAAAAGATTGAAATGGAAACCACAGTCCCAAATTCTAATTAAATAACAATTGGCCTTCCAACTCAAAAGTAGAAAGGAAAAACTATGGCTTAGACAGTTTCTGCACAAGAAGACGGGCAGATCTAGCGTTTCAAACTACAGTTTTCATAATTAGTACCACACCTGCCATCTGGAGGCTTATTCATAAAGCTCCACTTGAGGCCAGTGGGAAAGCCAGCTCCTCCTCGGCCTCTCAGGCCTGAAATCTTGATCTCATTCAAGATCCAATCAATACCCTTCAGCAGAATTTCCTTGGTTTTATACCAGTCGCCTCGGCTCAAAGCCCCTTTCAACCTAGAGACAAAAAAGAAAGAGTCATGCATTTTAACTCCATTTTGTAAATAAATTTAGAGCTGCTTTCCCCATCTGGGGTTGTTCAGGTATCTCAGAATATGATAGAAGTTTGACATAGTGGTTAAGATATTGGACCAGAAACTGGGAAGCTGCAAGTTCTAGTCTTCCTTTAGGCATGAATATGGCATTAATCATGATTTTGACCCAGTTGATCTTTCTTGGCCAATCCACCCTATATTAATATATATATATAATAGGAGGCAGGAGCATTTTGATTCTATCCTGAGTTATACCAATAGTACAATATAAATACTGGGATACTGTAGGAATCTAAGAGATAATAATTATTACACTTCCAAGCCTACTGGCCCTCAAGATACTTTATACTCCAAATTTCCACCACACTAAGATCTGTAATGCTATTCCGTATGAAATAATGTGGGGAAGATGACACAGAGAAGCATAACACCAGTCCTGATATCACAGTTCATAGATCTTGTTCAAATGACATACTTCATTAGGTCAAAGTAGGAGATAAGACATTGTGCAAACTTATAGTCTAATACACTAATGTTAAAAACTAATGTAAAGGACATTAACTGTTTGGAATTAACAAATATATCCTCTTCTTGCAAATGGAATTGAGATTCCTCATTTCTAACCATAATGATGCCAAAATGACAAACATGTGTCATGATGTTATAACCCAAGCCTTGTTCTGGTATTTTCATCACAAGTAAGTAAAGGACAGAATTTGCATCACAGTGCATGTTTCACTGATTATTCTCTTAGCCCCTGTATGCAGACCAAGTTTATAGAATAAACAGGCATTCACTCTGTTATTCTAAAACAGTGGTAAAAACTAAGAAAAACATAACAAAAATAAGTCTTTCTTTAGCTCTCCATCACTTTCTTTTTTTTAATCCCCTCCCTATAGTTAGAAGAGAGACTAAAAAGGAGCAGAAAGATGTAGGATTGAGTAAGGCCTCCAACTCTATTCATGGTCATATTGACCCCAAGCAGATCATTGTGGATCTTTCTTCCCTATTTTCTATTGTATGCAAAGTAGTAGAAGCTAGGACATGGCAATATCCTGGCATCTTCTTTTATAATAGCCAGAAAACCTCAAAAGTAGTAGCTGCACAAATAAATGCACAATCACAAACCTATGCAGTATCAAAATACCAGAGAAATTTAGTTACCAAGAAAGCAATTTTGCAAACAATCAGTGAATGCATACAATTAGAGAAATTTAAAGTAATTACAATTGTATTTAAATAAACCACAGCTGTTAGATAAGTAGAAAAATATTTTTGGCAACCTATAAGTAATTCACTAGTTAA